TGGTGCATGATGGCACGACTGCAACGAATGAGTAAAGCAGATAATTGAGCTTGTGCCCATGGAGCTTACAGCAAGAGAGTCTTAGGGGGAGATAAACATTTGGCAGCCATTGACAAGTGACTAAAAGGTTTAAATAATGGTCAAGTGGGAATCACCTAGGTGAGAACACAGAACGAGGACACTTGTCACCAAATATTGACATTTAAATTTGTGGAGAGGAGGATAATGCTTAAAAGAATCTTAGAAAAATAGAGGCAGTAGAAAAGATTCCGGGAGAGGGTGGTGCAGGAAAGGTACCAGGAGTGATTCAACAAGGACCGCATAGTGGAAGTGTTGAATGATGCCGAGTCTTTAGGTGTGACGAGTACAAAGAAGTTATACAGGGCTGAGGAGCCTAACTTTCATTAGTTAATTCAGTGAATTCACAGTGGGCTCAGAAGACCAAAGACAATGAGCATCGACCTCATTTAAGAAGTTTGGCTGTGGAGTATAGTAAGAAATAGGAGGTCACTGGCGGGGGATATAGGGTTTCATCTTGCTTTTAATATGTTCTAATGGGGATGGAAATGTTACAGTAGTCTGGACCAAGCTAGCATGTGGGGTAGGGAGTGGTGGGCAATCTATTCAGTGAGGTCCTTGAGGAGGGTAGAAGTGAGAGGGCCCAATGTATAGGAGGAAGGATTAATCTTACCCGCCTCATTTGGGCCACAGAGAGCATCAGTGTGGACAGAAGGAGGCACACATTTTGGCAGCAATAAGTCAGTGCATCCTCTGTTGCTTATTTCTATCTTCCATGTAAAGTAGGAGGAGTGCCATTTGTGGAGAATGAACAGAAAGTTGGAGGTTTGAAGACAATTGAACCAAGGGGTTGGACTAAAACTTTTGTAAAGTCGTTCATCCCTGAGTGCCTATAAATTGCAGCTCAAGACATTGATAATGCAGTGTTAGTGGAAGTTGAGGACTTAGATGGACCCTACATGCAGGTCCTGGCAAGACAAGGACGTCTTGGTCAAGATCTTTGCACTAGAGAAAAGTAAATATGTCTAATCCCACAGACCACTTCTTAGATTTGTTGCTCGATAATCCAATTTAAATGAATTTCTTCTGTGTAGATGGGGCTCAATGGAATATGGCTGACAATGGAAACCATAGTGGTGGGTGTGGTGTGAAGAGTTATCATGCCTCTAAATCATATGCAGTGTTGTTAACCAATGTTACCTCACTGGTAACGTGCATAAAGACACCCCCAGCAAAATGCAATATCCCAAGATATGAAAAATTAGCTAAGAGGCCCTCACTCTACCTTTTTTCTAAAATGAAGGTGACAGTGGGCCAGCTCATCTGATTAGGTACTCTAATCTGTTCTCAACATGTTCAGTCCAACCCTGGTCTAAACACAATAGCTGTGTTTTTCTCGCTGACTTAATACTCCAATAGACCTTTCAGCACATTGGATGATTTGACTGTAGAGAGAAAAAGGTCCTGCCTGTCATGCATCTCACATGGCCCTTGGGTTTTGTCAGCTCACACAGGGTGTGTCTCTGCACACCCTTGGTATTTAAGTCAGTGGCAAAACATATACAGGATCATTAATTCATTAAAAATTATAGTAAAGTCAGGGATGGGCCCACCCCTTTAAGGTTTGTCATCAGAGTGACTGTGGAACAGAGTCTTGGAGCAGGAATAAAAAGTAGGGATAATCCTGGTTCTTCATGTGCAGGGGCTATGCCCGCAGAGTGAGTCTGAGTGAGCCCAAATGTGCTCCCTCAGACCACTGAGGTCAACTCAGCTCCTTCCACCCAAGACATCTCAATGCGAAGCACCTTATCAGGTTCCTTTTCCTCATACAACTCATCTTCACACGCCACTTTGTGATGCAGGCTTCTAATTGCTCACTCAGTCCTATTTTATTGCTGGGAGAGGCTGGGGTGGAAGCAAAACCAGGTCAGCGTGCAGCTGTGAAACTGAACCCGACGCCATCACAGCATGACGTGGTGTAATCCCCGCCCAGGGAAACCAGGGAGAAAGCACATGGGTGGGGAGGACGCCCACACCCTCATAGTCACGCCCCTCCGTAGAGAGATAGGGTAGACAGTAAGTCTGTTTTTTGTTTTTTGTCTTTTTTTTAAAGATAATTTTTTTTAAGAGTTATTTATTTATTTATACAAGCACTGGGTACAGTCAGAAGCGCGGGAGGGTGGGAGAATTCACCAGAGCCAGAGCAGAGAGCAGAGCAGGCAGAAGGACTGAAGTACACTGCTGAGGGGAGCAGCGGGCGGCAGGAGAGGTCTGCGCACCATGTGGGACCCTCACCCGGTGGCCGGGGATCGAACCAGCACTGCAGAGGCTGCAGGCAGCTTCGCAACCCAGCGCTCAACCGCTACGCCACCCGGGAAGCCCTGTTTTTTGTTTTTTTAAAGATTTATTTATGCATACAAGAACTGGGGTACAGTCCAGAGGTGTGTGTGGGGGGGATGAGAGGATTTACCAGAGACAGAGTGGGGAACAGAACAGGCAGATTGACTGAATTACACTGATGAGGGGAGCAGCCGGCGAGACAGGAGAGGTCTGCTGCGTCATGTGGTTATCTCCCTGGCTGGCCAGGATCGAACTGAAGCTGCAGAGGCTGCGATTGCTTCATAGTGTGGTGCTTAACCCCACCAGGGAGGCCCAGTAAGTCTGTTTTGAGTTATCAAAGATGAATGGATTTAGTGAGGGTCTGACTTATTTTTAGCCCTTCTTTTGACATCATGTCTAAAGTCTGGTGATACTTTATTCATTTTGCCTAGAGTTAACAGAGTGACTTTTCATACACATTTTCCCCAGTAGACACCACCATCCCTGCCATCTTCCATGGCAATGGAGGCCTGAACTTGAGGCCCAAGCATGGTTTTTGGAGGTCAGTTTCTCACACTGGGTATGCCAAGGAATCAGTTTCTAAATAACTGACAATCTTTAGACAAATCATTCTGCTTTTTAGGCCAAGATTCTTTTTTTTTTTTTTTAAAGATTTATTTATTTATGCATAGAAGAACCAGGGTACAGGAAGAGATGCGGGGGGCGGGGGTGGGAGAGAGGATTCACCAGAGACAGAGTGGGGAGCACAACAGGCAGACTGATTGAAATACACTGCTGAGGGGAGCAGTGGGTGGGCGAGGCAGGAGAGGTCTGCTTCGCCATGTGGGTTTCTCCCTGGCCGCCTGGGTATCGAACTCGCGCTGCAGAGGCTGCGGATTGCTTCATAGTGTGGTGTTTAACTCCTTGTGCCACCAGGAAGGCCCTCGGCCAAGATTCTTAAATAGTTATTTCCACTGAATACTTTTCTTCTCAGCTGAGAATGAACATCTATATTGCCATCAGACTAGCCTGCTCTGTCTAAAGGTTGCCCTGTCTAGATTATTCTCTGCCCTTCACTACCCTGGTGGTTCCCTCAGTACTGCCAATCCTGCATTGAGGGTACAGGGAAAGGAAACTGCTAGATTGTTTCTCAGTACCCATATCTTAATCACTTTGAATGTGAAAGAAGGGACATTTTGACGAGTTTTACCGTTAGCACAGCAATGTGGCTTTCTTAGAGATTGGGTTCTTTGGGACTCTTTGTCCTGCATAAAAGGAGGTAGATGAGGTTTTTCCAACTTTGTGGCCTGAGAAATGACTTCAGCCTCTGCATTTTAGGTTTCTAGGCAGTTTAAAATATCACTGCACAAAGGTCACCCCCAACCCACCTAATTCCTGCAAATGCACGTGGAGTTATAATTTTCAAGAGTATCAAGACAATAGTAACTTGCTAATGGGAAAAGCCATAATTTTAAAATTAGCTAAAGAGATTAACTGTTGAAATGAAGGCTTCGTTTGAAAGAGATTTTGGAAATCTACGTTGGTTTTATAACACCAAATTATGTCGGAAATTTTTATATTAAATCAAAAAATCACACATCTGTTTTCTAGTAGATTCCAATGGAGAGTTCTCCAGGCTAAAATCACGATGCTTTCTGTTCATGCCTTAGTCCTGACCCCAGTGAGCTATGCAAGCTTAGACTAAAAATGGCTGAATCACTAGGGTCAGGTTCTCCCAGTTACAGTGTGGATTAACAACAGAGGCTCAGAGTGTTTTTATCCCTGGTAGGTGAGTTATTTATTTATTAAAAACTATTAAATTTTAAAAATTTAATTATTACATTTATTAAATTTAACAAAATTAATAATTTAATATTAAAATTATTAAATTTAATAATTAAAATTTATTTAAAACATTATTAAAAACACTTTTGAGAACTCTAAGTATTTCAGACAGAAGTTAACATAATACAACTGAAGTACAATATCTTGCTTTACATATCTGGTATGCCCTACACGTTATTTGTAAATGAAATCTTAAGTGTGTTAGGAAGAGATAAAATTATTTTTTAAAGCTCCCAATTGGGCTACCAAGTAAATCTATATTTCAAAATCAGATTTTCTAAAAGATGTCTACCTGCAGTGCTGTATTTATTAAACACACAGTTACTCACAGAGATTAGTGGTATGAGCTATCTTCATGTAGTTAGCACACTTTAAGGAGCAACGACCTTGTCACTGATCCAGAACCTAGTAGAACCTTGAACTTTGGAGGAAACCTGTGTTTCCTAGAAATTACAATATATATGATGTTTAATAATTACGAATCACAAACAAGTTGAAGTTTCCCAAATCACTTTCAAAAGGTATCATTTTACTAGGAAAAAAATACAATAAATGCATTGCATAAAGGAAAGTGACATTTATGCTATTTAAATGTTTGTTTCCCACTGCAAAAGAAAGCATCAAGGGAAAAATGTTTGTATTGTAACATCACTAACATAATTCACCCCAAGAATAAAATAAGACATAAGACCGCATGCGATCGCACACGTGCGCTCTCTCTCTCTCTCTCCTTATATCTCATGATTTAAGAAGAAAATCTCCTAGGGAAACTACAGACCTGAAAGTCTGATGGTCTTTCTTTCTTTAATTTTCTGCAGCGCTTACTGTCTCTATGAATCATTTGGCATGGGTGTGTTATCTTGTATCTTTTCATGTAAGTATTTTTGAAAGTTATATTTTTAAATTTATTTTTATTGAGGTTGCATTGGTTTACAACACTGTACATGATTCAGAGGTACAGGTACAACTAGAAAGTGAGCTCTTGGAAGTATGTTCCCAGGGATGCTAAACCCAATGCCTTGTACGTAACCTGGCACCTTAACATTGGTGACAAGAGCATTTGCAAGGAGGAGCCTGGTGAGATACACTTAAAACCTTTATTCATTGATTTACAAAATGTACAATATTTACAAAATTTAAGCATCAATCCCATATTAACATGAATGTGGTCTAAAAATAAATAAGTGGTACACAGATTAATATACATATCATGGCTCTTTGCACTTCTAGCCATCAGCAATGGTGGGATTTAATGGAAGGTTTAATGTGGTAGAAGAGTCAGATGGCTGACCTGTCCTGGGTCTTCCTTGGCTCCCTGCTGCTAGGGATGGTGAGCAAACCACTTTCTTTCAAGAGTACGAAACACCAGCCATTTGGACAGGCATATGGGTTGTACATAGCCACATTTGTATGGAGCTTGCAGACATCCCCCCACCCCAACCCCTGGGCAGCAGATGAGTCCACACCATTGTGGATCTGATCACTGCACACCAGCCAGTGAGTCTTTGGTGTGGTTGCTTTCTCACTAAGAACCAACATTTGGACTTTGTCTCCTATTCAGATCACATGCAGTACTTGGAAGGTGTCAGTGGATTGTGATCATGCATAAAAATGATATTTTAGGTATGTACAACATCAAATTTTCATTGTCTTATAGCATCTTTATATGTAAGATCAACCTGTCTTCTCTTTTAGAAATAGGAATGAATGAGAAAGCCATAGAGAAAGCCCACCCACCCCCTCAAAGGAAAACCACCTTGGATACATGCAAATGGCATCCTGCAGAGACAGGACTAGATAAACTCCATATGATAAAGATGGATAAATTCCCATGAAGTCAGGCCTGGAAGTTTTCCTAGGGATGGTAATTCTACCTTCCTTTCCTCTCAATCCCATTTCATCCTATAGAAACTAAATCAGAGTGAAAAGCCTTCACACTATTGAGCTTCTTACACAGTACCTTCATATGTAAAGTGTAAATACTAGTAATATTCCTTACAGGGTTCTTGCAGGGGTTTTATGACCTAACTTGTAAAGTGCTTAGCATAGTTCCTGGCTCTGTGCCAGGAACTTAATAAATGTCTTGCTTTCTCTCCCTCTATTCTCCTACCCTAAACATATTGATAAACCTATTGAACTCTGAATTAAGGCCATCTGATACAATTTAGATCACTTTGTATCAGAGTTACTCCTGGTACCTGAGGGTATCTCATTTTATGAGCCAGAGACGTTTTCCTGTACAAGGCAGATGGACTCTGGCAACACTACTCTTTATCAGTAATGGCCCCACCAAATTTCTTGCAAACACATCCCACAACCCTACAGAGAAACTCATACCAGTGATGGTTGCCACCCAAATACTACTGGGACATCACCACTGAGGAAACCATGAGCAAAAGTCTTGAGGTCAATGCATTATTTTTGCTCACAACATAAGTTAACTTTTTTTTCAATTCTGGTGCAAGTATTATAGATAACTTTCAACAAACATATATTACAAGCTCTACCACCATTGAAAAATAAGTATTCTAATTTGATTGTTTTGTTCAGAATAGAGTTTTTACAATATATTTTAGCTTCTGGTTATGCCATACAAAAATAAATACAGTATAATGATTTACAAAGAAGAAGAAAAAATTGTAACATGAGTGCCAGAAATATAGGAAGGAGGGTGAAAATTTGACCATTTACTTCAAAAACTATTACGTAAAAGAAATAAAAAATTCCCACTAGGTTTCCTTACTGATCTCACCATTTCCTTACTGTCCACCTATTTCTCATCCTAGGATATTATGTCTTTTCTTCTCTATTAATCTTGACACAACTGAATGCAGAACCTTCTCCCTGAAGTCACTGGGGATTGAAGTAGAAGAATGGGAAAGGCTCTTTGTTAGTAGAAATGGAGATGGAGGAAGATCTAGGCGAGCCACTTATAGGACCCTCAGAATGAAGCAGGGTCAACGCCACACACTGCCCTCCTTTCCTTACGAAATCCTCTCTCTTTCAAGATTAACTCTACAGGAACAGAATCCCATGACTGAAAAAAAAAAAAATAATCCCTCCCTGTTTTGGGACTCCTTGGACACTCACAGTCCAGGGAGAATCCAGGATTTCATGGAGTACAACTAGGTGTGAAATCAAGGCCAATCTTCCCAATGATATGAAAGGATAAACGGTCACTTTATGGATACCAGTTTGATTACATTGGGAAAATCCCTCTTCAATTACCCTTCCTATAGAACAAACTTTTATGATTGCCTTTTTCAAAAATCTCCCATACAAAGCAGAGGGATATGATTCCCGACACTGGGAGAAGAATGGTGGAAAACATTAAATTGGACAAGTAGTCAGAATCTCCAAGGAAATTGTCTATCAACTTTGGAGTACATTTCACAATTCTGAATCTATAAATGAATTTGTGATTGTATTTAAACCAGTGGCCCTTTATCTTTATCCTCAAAATCACACATTTATGCTCATCCTTTGACTATGTTGCCTAACATCTCAGAAGTTCCCAGGACTTCCAGTGGCGCATGCACGTCCTCCAAATTAAGAGCCCCAGACTTCAATAAATGCAGAACTATTTCTCAGAGCAAAAACAAAGGTTTGTGGTAGAGAAGTCAGGGTTTGTTTGGGGGACAGGCTGGCTTTGATGAGGCGCTGGACTTGAAATGACTACACTGAAGCAATGCTTGTTCCTTAAGGTAAGTGGTAATGCTTGGCTGTGAAGACATCATGAGTGTTGTAGTTTCACGCATAACTACCGTCAGGTCAATGACTCATGCGTGATGATGCATCATCGGGATGCCCATGATCACACCTGTGCAGGGAGCCTCTGCACTGCTATAATGTGAGTCCCAACCACACCCACAAGCAGGACATGATCACTGACATGCTGTGTGGGTGCCCATTTGTCTGATTTATGGGTGATGTTGTGGCAAATGTAGCTTCAGTTTCATTTCGGGGGAGTGGCAAGTTACAGATATTTCCTTCACAACAGGAAGTGCAGACCTAAAAAAAAGGAAGAGAAAAAGAAGGGTGATGAGAAACAAGCAGGCCTTGAAAAGAGGCAGGGTGTTTTGAAGAAATTGTCTCTGTTGTGCAAAACTATAATTGAAATGATCCATTCTACAAAGGAGACACCAACCCTGCATTTATAAGGTGTGGGATGAAATTTCTTCTGGGAGCAATGTGTTCAGAATGAATACTGCCCACCCCCCCCCACCACCCTGCATACCCCCAACTTCAGCCCACACTAAACTTCAAGGGAAATGGGTTGCTTCTGATATCCTCCCATTTGGTTATTATACAGTTTACAACCTTCCATTGTCTCAGCTATACCATCTGTGAAGTGGGGGTTATAATATAATTTATACCAGTTTTCTATACCCTGATATAAATTTTTATTCTTTTAGAGAAAATAGGATAGGAAACATCTTTTCAAAATAGATCAAGATAGTCAAAAGACAGACTAAATTGGTGGGGGGGGGGTAAAGATTTGCTCATGAGCACTGGCAGGAATCTGAAGTGGAGGAAGGCTGACTGTGCTGTACCCATCATTTACTTTGTTGCCCAGACCTTGTGGCCTTCATGCTCAGAGTCTCTGCAGCCAGTGGACAAGCATTCTTCCAGCGGAACGCAGCGTTTGGTGACAGAGATGCTATTTCCCGAGACTTCCATTGTGTGCTGAGTATAGCAGTACCTGGTCTCTGTCAACAGAGAAAATATATTTTAATTGCTATAGGAAAAGTTAATCCAATGCCCAAAAGGGAAACAAAAGGAATGTCAACACTAAAAGTTCTGAAAAGATCTAACAGGACTTGGGATGTAAATTGTGTTGAGTTTATGTTCAGTCCCAAAGATCTCCTTGGAGGGATCCTCTTGGACATGGTGGACAGATGGCCTTCTAAAGAAGAGTGTTCTCTCTGCCCAGTGTAATCCCCATAGACTAAGACACAATGGTATCATCCTTTGCCTTTGAATAAACTTTGCCATTGTATTGACCTTTATTTTTAGGTGGGGAGAAGTTTGGAGAGATGATATAGGATGTGAGAGAAGAAAAACTGAAAAAGTTCAAAGAACCAAAGGATAAAAATAGAAGAAATTGGGCAGTTGACAATGATCTTCAAGAATAATCAGCTTAAGTCTGTGTGTGTGTGTGTGTGTGTGTGTGTGTGTGTGTGTGTGTGTGTGGAAAACAGCAGAACAATTAAAAACTGACTGTCTGCATCTGGAAGAAATAACTTTATCCCAGAGAAAGGACTTCTTCAAGACCAGCTTTGAAGGAGAATTTCAGTTGTTACCAGAAGCCCAAAATAGACCTAGAGAGAATAAACAACAAATGAATAGACAAAACCAAACTTTGAAATCTGACTATAGAATAGAGGCTTCCAGAAGGAGAAGAGAAGGGTGGAGTACAAAGGGAGGGAACCCAGTGGTGGAGGCCTACAGGTTACTTGGTGGTGGGTGGGGTGTGGTAAGCTACATCTGAAAGGGTGTGAACTTATACCTCTAATTATACAGTGTTGCAAACCAATGTTACCTCAATTAAAAAAAAAAAAAAAAAAAAAAGGACTTCTTGCCAATGAGCACAGCTAGATCCTAGAATTCATTACAAAAGAACACTAACCCAACAATGAAGGTTTTCCAAAGTTGAGAAGGATCATTTCTCTCTAACATAATTTCAGTGTCTTTCTAGGATAGTAGATGAAGACCATGAAGTGAGTTTTTAGAGGTGCCCTCTAAGTCTTAGGAGTCTAAAAACTGAGATTTATTCCAAAATTCCATGGAGAATTTTTTAATTTATAACTTAAAGGTCTAAAGAAAAATGGCTCTCTAATATAATTCTTCAAGGCCTCCAAGCAGAGTTCAGCTTTCTAAGTCTGGATTTACTTTCAGATTAAAAAATGAATAATTCTTAAGAAATGTCACAGAGCTGTTTTTCATCCATATCTTAGACCCAACTCTGCATGCCTTCTACATTCTGGATAGTTAGTAACTAATATGGAATTATTACCTTCTATGATATTATTTATTAGGCAATACACACCTCCTATCAGACTCTATCATAATTTTGGCAGCTTTTAACCATAGTACTAGTGTCCATAGAGGAATGTGAAAGAAATTTAGGCCCTAAGAATAAGCTAATACTAACCCTTTGACATATTTGGGAGTTGGGAAAATTCAAGGGTTTTAATAATCTCCCTGGACACCCACTCCTGACAGAACCCAATTGGTTTCTGATTGAATCAGCTAAGGGTGGCAACCATTCCAGTGTTGACACTACTGTTGGTTATACCTGGGCTGTCTGCATCAATGCCCTTCTCCAAATGTTGTCCCCCTCACTGTACCCTGACCAAAAATATTGTCATCTGTAATCAGGGCAAAGCAGTCTCTAGCTAGCTAGGAACCCTAGAAAGTTGTTTGAGAAATGGAATCAATAAGGTGACCCATGAGCTCACAAGAAAAATTAAGATTGCACCTAGCAATGATTTTCCTAAAGCCCTAAGATAGTTTAAAATTGGAGTGATTTTTTTTTTTTTCCTGATGAAGAGGAGGTAATAGCTCTATCTTTTTTTTTTTTTAAGCCTGTGACAGGTTTTAATTAGCAGGGGTGAGTAGCCTGAGAGGTTTACTGCATTTCCCAAAAAAAGGCTGCTTTACTTCTTTACTATCATACTCGGACATTTATGGCCATGATAGGTATCCTATTCCTGCCCCCATCCCAACCTCAGATGTTAAAGAAAGCAATAAAAATAGGAATGTCCTTATCTCCTGTCTCCTCTTCATGCAGACAATCAGGAGCAGCTGCCAGATATTTTATTGCTCCAAATGTAAATCTGAGTAGATAAGATCATACGTTTATGGAATAAGTAAATCATTATGTAGCTTCAGTTTTGGAAATTAGATTTGTGCCCCCAAGTTGTGAATAATCTTGTTTTAAAATAACAATTGGTGAACTTGATATAACTACTTTTTGTTTATACTTCTATGTCCATAACAAACTCTCTTATTAATTGGAAGCTTATTTCATTGATGAAGTAGAGACAACAACAGATAAACACTTTTTTTTTCCAGTAAAACAAGCAAAAGCCCATAACTAATAAGCCAATTCTTGTCATTCATGGGAAGGACCATTAGTGGTTAAGACTGGTAAAGAATGTTTTTCTTCACCAAGTCCAATCCATAAAACAAAAATATATTGAGAACACCCCATTACTTCCAAATGCAGAGACCTAAGATCCACAGTATCAATCCTTAAAGTATCCATTCCACTTCTTTTTTTAAAAATTTATTTATTTATGCATACAAGAGCGGGGGTGCAGGGCAGAGGTGTGGGGGTGAGAGGATTCACCAGAGACAGCGTGGGGAACAGAACAGGCAGACTGACTGAAATACACTGCTGAGGGGAGCAGCAGGCGAGTCCTGAGAGGTCTGCTGTGCCATATGGGTTGCTCCCTGGCCGGGGATCGAACTCGTGCTGCAGAGGTTGTGGATAGCTTCATAGGTTGTGTCTTAACCCCTTGCACCACCAGGGAGGCCCTCCATTCCACTTCTTATCTCACAAAACCCCCAGGCAAAGTATGAAATGTTAATACAGGAAAAGTTTCTACGCTTAAATAAGTTTGCAAATATACAGGTGAAATTGGACAGGCATCTTTATTGCACAACTTACGAAAGCCTTGAATTTGTATTGTGATCTCCAAGGGGGCTGGGGGCAATAATTACCCTAGCAGAACTAGGAGGACCACATACAGCTTATCACTGGACTGTAGAATTGATAAAAAGGAGTTGCAGCCACAGAGCACTGCTCCCTATGAATTTTGAATAATCCTTAGGTTAGTAATGAGGTTATAGGAGAATCAAGTCTGCTGATACCTTCACACTAAAAGGATTTCAAAGGCTTTTATCTAAAAGATAAAAGATGGATTTGAATTTCTACCAGGTTAGTTTCAGCCTCTAAAATCTCATATTCTTGCAAGGTATTCCCTGAGGTTGTGAAACAAAAGCCTTTTACCATGAGACTCACTAAAATCAGAACTGAGTGGGAGAGCTTAAACAACTATTGAAAAGAATATAAATTCTTAAAATTCACACCCACCTTTTATAATCTAGTTCTGAAATCTAAAAAAGTTCAAAGCTAAAATGTAAATTTCTATCTACCCACTAATATTTGCTTTTCAAGAACAGAAACAGTATTTAAACAAAACAGATGTAAAATGATTTGAATTAAAACCAACCAACTCGTTAAAGGCTTTCTTGCTGCTCAGTTATGTCTTGTGGCTCTGCTAGTTCTGCTTAGTTCTGGTTTCTTAACAAACATCTATGTTGAAGGGGATACTGGAGAACAATTCACCAGGTACAAGAAAATTACTTCGATCATAACATTACAAATTATATTGGAAAATAAAAGGCTAATGGGATCTGCCAACACATGACATGTTCCCTGCCTTATCCCTACTGTGCTCACTTCGCACCCCGCCATGCTCCGTTCAGGTGCTCTTGTGCTGTGTCTGTTCACCTGAGTGTCCAATTTCATGCCCTTCTCTCAAGTCTGTTTCTGCAGGATTTCTTTGCTGTTCTGGGCTTTCCTATATGTCTTCTCTGTGGCATTCCCTGCCCTGGATTTCAGAGCTTTGTCTTCTAAGACTTTTTCCTGCATTTCTGGTCCCCTCTCTTCTAACATGTTCCCTGGCCCGAATGTGCAGATTTTCTCATGTTCTGTTTTTGAACCTTCTAACTGTGTGATGAGTGTGACTATGATGTCACATCTTCATGTTGATTCTCTCTCCTGAGCCATACAATCAACTTTCTAATCAATCTATAGAGCTCCTGGACATCTCCTGTACCCCCTAACCTATCTCAAACCAATTACATCACTTCCCTTCCCTGTCGATCTGTTTATCTTCCTGTGTTCCTCCCTCAGAATTGGACATCCTGAGCTGTGATACCTCTATGTTACACTAGTAATTTCAGAATCAGCTCAGATTGTCGTCCCAACCTGGATGCTTCAAGGTCTCTGACATGTCTTTATTATCTGTCTAATCTTTTCTAGTCCATTTTCCATTTCCCCAGTGGAGGACCTCATCATTTTCTATCCCCTTTATTTCTGATTCTCTCCTCTGAAATGCAGGTGCGGGACAACCACCAGGCCTATTACTGAAACCAAGATGAGATCATTTTACTCACTGCTGTGAAAGCCTGAGTGATGCTGGGGTCCAGGAACCCTGACTGCGTACTGCCAGGCTGATTTGGCTTATCAGAATGGCCAGTAGCTGCTCGAAGTTCTCTCTGCTCCTGAAGCTGTGTGTCAAGAGAATAAACTGTGCTTCCCTGCTGGCAGCATCAATTACATTTATAACTTAGCACTTAGCATTTGAAACCCATCCCTTAATGTCACTGAAGGTTCTCCTTGATCTGGGTTGCAGACTGCTCACCATACCTTGAGATACCATGCCATAACTTTTGACAGTTCTTCACAACAAAAAAGTTTTCCTATAAAACCTGATATTCTCCAAGGCTCAATCTGTGGTGAATGTGGTGAATTCTGTGAAATCTTCCTTGATTTTTCCTCCCAACCAGGGTCACAGTCCTTCTTAGCTCCCTCATTTATTATATCTGGCTTTCTTTCTCATTCAGATTTTCCCAAACTTGATTCAATTGTTTTTTTTTTACTGCTTAATTTTGCTCTTTATTATTTATATATTTTTATTTTTAGGTAATTATTGATTCACATGTTTTTGCAAGAAAAAATACAGAGGGACTCTGCATATATTTTATCCAGTTTCCTCCAATGATAGCACACTGCAAAACTATAGTATACCCATTGAAGGAGCACCTAGCAGCTATCAACATTTATGTGTGCGATCATAAGTTTTCATTTCTCTGCAATAAGTGCTCAGAAGTAGAATTATTGGGTTGTAGGGTAGTTGCATATTTAGTTGTTTAAGAAATGGCCATACTGTTTTCCAGAGTAGCCGTCCACTTCACACTGCCATGGGCAAAGTATGAGTGATCTAGTTTCTCCCAGTTTTTACCAGCATTTGGTGGTGTGCTATTTTTTATTTTAACCATTCTGATAGATGTAGAGATATCTAGTGTT